TCCAAATGTTGTACAACCAAGAACAAGTAACCATGTTTCACAATTAATTACCATCACACACCAACCACCTCACACCCCTGCCACCACGACCAACCCACCAAACCCACCTACAATATACCCACCACTACCCACCATCCACCAAAAGAAAAACCAAAAAAAAAAAACAAAACCACCAAAACACCAACAACACAAAGCACACACACAACCAAAGCCCCACAACACCAAATCCCCAAAAAAAAGCAAAGCCTCCCACACTGCGCAAAAACTACGATCACTAACGCGAACTTATACGCGTACAAAACTAAATTAACACTATTAACTTTCACACACCCCAAAACCTGACATATATGAACACACCGTAGCCGGGTTACAAAGCACGACAAAGACGACCAAACAGGAACATAAAAGACTGGCGCGCTTCAAGTTTCCTCCAACATACCACTCTTTGGAATAATTAACGACGCAATACGTAGAAAATAATTAAATCTTATGTATATCTCAAGTAAAACAATACAAAACCTAAAAGATAGCAAAACAAAACTAAAACAAGATATTACACACCTAATCCACCTTTTAGCTCACTCCGAGTCCAAAAAAAATCGCACAGGGCGACCATCCCATGGAAGTGCAGTCAAGTGTATACAGTATCACAGGTGAAACCAAATTTAAATTATCAGAAGTGCAACATTAAGTTTGTCACTAAATCAGAAACTATGTACACACATTTTTTAAACACTTTTAAATGAACGGAGCTGTTGTAAAACACTCTGAGAGACAAATAAACTCCAACACTTGGCAACTGATTAACTTTTTTTATGTGGAGGCTGACTTGATAGGATGCCCTCAGTGCCCCTCTGTTCCCTTTGAATGCCTGAAAATAACAGAGAAGATATTATCATTAACATTGCTGGGTTATTGGGTGATTTTTAACACCAGCCGGCGTACGCTGTATACCCAATGTGGACCTGGCAACCGCATTTATAGCGCATTACATTACATGTTACTTGTTAGACGCTTTTATCCAAAGCGACTTACATACTCAATACTGTGGGGAATCCCCACAAAGCGATTTTGACAGGGTTGTTGCACAAAAGATCCAAGCGCGCACAGAAGAAATCTGAGAGCAGACATTTCACGAGCGCACAGAAACAGAGTGCGAGGAGAAGGTTTTAAGCTGTAACACATCTGTAAGCAGAAATATATCTGAGTGCAAGCGTACAGTTTGAGCAGAAGCAGAGCAAATCTAAGCGCAAGCAGGCACTATTTGAGTGTGAGGACAGGGTTTGAGGGAAATACATACATATTCTGAACGTGAAATCAATATGCTCTCAAATTTAAAGACCACACTCTTGAATAAAGATAGGGAATAACCCCCATATGTATTCCTATGTGCATCACACTGCAGCAGTCTCCGCCTCTCTCTTCATGAGTCGCG